AAAAAATAAAAACCTACCTTAATCAAGTAATTTAGGAGAACGTTTTCCATTAAAATATAATCAGAGAATACGAAATTAATATAGGTAAAATGTTAGGTGTATTTTAAAGTTATAATTATAATATATCATTATATTTTTAATTCTTTTATTTATTAATTTACCTATGCATCTATAATTTATTCATCTATTGAGATGTTTCACAATTCTCCGTATCAAATTTCATAATCATGGCATTGTGAATATGATCATGTATAATTTTTCTTCATTCTTTTTTAAAAGGGTAATAAATGATGGGAAGTTTCAAATAAAATAACTTACTGTTTCCATGAAGGGCTGTTCACTAAATTTAAATTTAGGTCCTTTTATTCCTCTACAAATGTAACTCTATTAAAATAATAATCATATATGTTACATTAATATAAAAATTAATATATATAATTTATGATTAAGTTTTAAAAATATTTATTAAAATACGAGGTTTTAAACAAAATATACAGAAAGATAAGTTGATAATTTAGATGTTAAAGTGGCTTGCGTGCAGGCGGCGACACCACCAACAATAAAAGTAGGCAAAGTTTCCTCGATTCCTCGAGAAGTTTTCTGGTTTTCTGCCATAATCGTCCAGCTTTTAGCTTTTTTGCTGTTTCAGTGGAAGACCATAGTCATTTTTGTTGTCATTTTGAGAGCAGTTCAACACAACAGATGGTACACAAATACACGATAAGGAATACTAAAACCCCAATCAACATCATTTTTAATCTTGAAAAAAAATAAAAACCCATTTTTTGCCTTGATGAGAATGATTAATGTTATGGTCTAAAGTTACATTAAACAATATTAATTTTATAGAATGCATAAACCGATAGGGTAACACTTTTTCTAATGTTGTCTTCAATGTGGTCATGTGGGGCAAGGGAAAATATGTAGTATATATACCTAAAACGATTTCCAAAGATATGCTGGTAGAAATAACAAAAGGGTGGGAATTCTGATTTTGAGGAGCCTTTCAATCTTCCCAACTACTCAAAATTAAAGAGAAGCCTTTCCAACAGTGCGCCATAATGCAAATCCAAACGGTCCCAGTATTGCTGTTTTGTTGTGTTTCGTTGTACGAGCCTGAGATGGGAGAGCGTCAAGGCAGCAAAGCAGGTAGAATAATGCAAGTTTTATGATAGAAATAAATATTATATAATGACAATGAAGGGGTGGAGCCTACATTACCAGCTCCGACAATACTTGCTTTATTATGTCAAAAATAAAAACAATAAAAAAGGATTTTGTTGGGCAGCTTCTCGAACTTTTTATAGTAAAAATCTTCATACACCTTAAAAATTTGAGGGTGTTTCTTAAAAAAGAATATTTTGATGTTTAAATTAATAATATTTGATATTTTAAAAAGAGGCTTTTTATAGAGTAATTGCACAAAGAGACGTTTTTTATAGAGCAATTGCACAAAGAAACGTATAATGAAATTATTACCTTGAATTAAGGTAAGTTGAGATATTTATAGATCTTTTGTGATGACATAAAACCACATGTGTTGCTATTTAGTTAATTCACGTGTAGCTACCTATGTGGGTATGTATGGATCAATGTGTAGATGTATCCTCATTCCGGGTAGTCTTTGACTTCGAGATAAATAATTAAGCCTACCATACTTAGATTGAATATTGGACTCATTCCCAACAGATATATTTCATAGTGCACTTAGTGAATCCTCATCTGAAGGTGATGTTGGTGGAGATGACAGGAGAGGCTTGGGTGGAATTTCTAAAGAATCAAGGTTATCTCTATCACTCTGCTCCTCAGTGGGCGGACTGCTGAATCAGTCTATGTACCACAAGTCTTCTATTATTATATTTGTTACGACCAACAAGGGTTTAAACTATAATATTAATCAATTAGTTTTTAGATGTATAAAAAAAAATTATATTCCTCACTTTTTCCTTGCCATCCTTGTTCACAATGCTTTGCAATCCAAGTTCTTCATCTGATTCAAGATGACTGTGAACTAGCCAGGACTCCCATTGCCCCTCACGAAGGCTTTACAACCCTAGAATACATTCCATTCTCTGTTGAAAAGAGAAAAGAATTCAAATCCATTTATTTCTTGCCTTTGCCTCCTGTCACAATAAATTGTGCATTGGCCTATGGAGGATTTTGAAATGGAAATTCAAAATTTGAACAATTTTGGAAGTCGATTCAGCAATGAATCGTTTTTATCTGCCTTGCAAGGTAATCGTCGTTGTCACAGCCTCTTAGGACCAGAGTCTTCTACGCTTTACAAACCTAGAATACATTCCATTCTCTGTTGAAAAGAGAAAAGAATTCAAATCCATTTGTTTCTTGCCTTTGCCTTCCGTCACAATAAATTGTGCATTGGCCTATGGAGGATTCTGAATAAAAATTTAAAATTTGAACAATTTGGAAGTCACTTCAGCAATGAATCAATTTTATCTGCCTTCCAAGGTAATCCTCGTCTCATAACCTCTTACGACCAAAGTTTTTTTGGTTTAAGTTGATAATGTTAGCATGTAACTAAAATAGTAAGTTTTTTTATTCATTTATATTTTAAAAATTATATAAAATATATTTAATATATATTTAAATTAACATTTGTTTTAATAAATATATTTAATATTTATTTTAACTACAAACCAAATTATTAAAAAGTATTTGCAAACGACACGGAATGTAGTCTTCGGAATTCAGCTGCATTTGAGCAAGGTAGGCGGGGAAGAGTCACATTGTCAAAGAATTCGCAATCAGGGGAACGTCTTGCTTGGGTCATTTTATCCCTCCACAACTTTATCAGGGCACAAGATGTGATAGGAACATGTAATTCATTGCCAACACTCATTATATATTATTCATTGAATCACTAATCTCATATACATCTGATTATAAAGCAAGATAGAATCAATTGCTGCCTGACCTAGGAAAAGGTAGATGATAAAAGAAGAAAAGAATAAGGGACAAATAAATGAGGGAAATAATGGGGAAGAAGTCTATTTATGCCACTTTGACCCCACTTGGACGCTTTCCTTCCATGGCGTCCTTCTTATCACGGCAGCCAGCACACAGAAATGGCCCTTGCCAGGGCTTTGTGCTAGTGGAGAAGATGGAACCAGCATGAACAGATATGCCCTCGCTTGGAGCAAGGTCAACTTGACATACAGCACATGTGAAAAGACCAGATGTTGATTGCCCCGTGGCATCATCATTTCCGAGTCTGCAGAGCATGTAACAAAAAATATATATCAAGAAATAAACAAGAGTTTAACGCAAGTAATTTTGATAAATTATGAAGGAGAAGATGGTGAGTAACAAAACTTGGCTGCAAAGGAAGGAAAAACAAAGAGCTATGATGGCAACACAGAACCAAAAAGGATGACAAACCAGATTTATTATACAACCAGTTCAATCTATCTAACAGAATAATTTTATGAACAAATTTCACAGATCGAAGATGGCTGCTCAAGACCAAGACAAGTGAAATTTTTTTGGCACTGAAGTAATTTTGGTTTTTCTTTTGAGGTTTTCCTTTTCTGCCAGGTTTCTCTTCACTGGTTCTGTATCTGTATGTCTTTGGATGTGGGGGAGGGGACTGCTAGACATTGCTGAAAGGATTATAGAAGCTCTAATTACTGAAAATAAGGTTTATCACTTTACATTTTTCCAAAAAAGAAATCACATTTTGGAAAACATGACATGGTTAGTCCGGTAGTCGGTAAGTTGAACAGGTAAAAAAAAAAGGTTGCCGCAATTAAAACCATAAGACATCAAAACTAAACCATGAAATTTGTGCTGAATCACATTAGCTACCAGAACGCAGCTGCAAGCTAATCATGAGACGATTTAACCTATTCAAACTAAACATATTAAAGCTGATCTCTAAATAATCAGAAAGCAAAATGCTTGCCTCACACGCAACCTGACATCAAAGTTATTTATCCATATTTTAGCTTAAAAGTGAGCAGCATTTATCACATTTCAACATGAAGAATATTGCTTTAAATATAAGTGCCCAATTGTGCTGTTTAAACGTAGTATTTATTTTGTCATTAAGGATATCATGCAATTTGGGCTGTCTGAATGGAATGATCATAGAACAAGGTAAGAATAAGGAGAGAATGGGCGGCAGAAACAAATGCATATCCACAAAACCAAGCACTAACCTTTCAGCAAGCATTGCTGAGCCTTCTTCAAATAGCTCTTCCACTATACCAACGGCTGAAAGCTTCTTTGACAATTTATTGGAACTCGACTTTCTCCTAAATAACAAGGATTTCAGTACATTTTGTTTTTTGACTGGTGAAGGCTTTTCTGAATTGTCAGGAGCAATTATGTCAACAACTATACAGGTTGTGTCATCCTTTAGTCCCCTTGTCCTCAATGCTTCCTGAATAATAACAACCCAAAGCAATAAGAGAGAAGTTTGAGAGAAATTCTAATTAAAATAGGATTAGTAAGGAGGGGAAATGCAGGCAACTGTAATTACCTTGACAACTTGTCTAGCAGCAAGATCAGCTGGCAAACCCCGACAAGATTTTGCTGCAGCTTCTGAAGATAGAGCATCCCATATGCCATCAGATGCAATTATAAGCCTGCCACCTGCATTTGACAGCTTTTTTTTATGCAAAATAAGGATTGTCAGTCTCCATTCAGAAGATAGGCCTAGCATTTCCCAGCTCAAATGCACAGCTTCATGGTCAAAAGACAGAGCAACTAATAGACTGAGAAAAAAAAAATTAATGAGTAAATTGAAGAAGTGTACTTTAAAAATTTACCTTCACTTGCTTGACATATGGTATAGGTACTATAAATTCTCCAACATCTGTGTCTCCAATTGACCTAGAAAGGCATAAACCTCCTGGCCAACAACGGAGAGGTCCAATCTGTAAAAATTGAACGAAATATAATACATGAGCAATAAGTCTAAGAATTCATGGCAATGCTGGGGCTGTTTGGTTTTGTTTTTTTGGTTTTCGGTTTTTTGTTTTTTTTCTTTTTTTTTAGTTTTAATTTTTTTTTTTAAAACTTTTTTTTTTTAATTTTTTTTTCTTTTTAAAGAGGTTTTATATTGTAAACTCTCAAGTTTTTCATTTTCATTTTTTTTATATTTTCTTTTTTTTCTTTTTTTTTTTTTCTTTTTTTTTTTTCTCTCTAAACACCTTTTTTATTTTTTTTCTCTTATAAATTTTTACTTTTCTTTTTTATATATTTTTAAAAAAAAAAATCAAGAAGCACCACCATAAGGTGACTTTATAGATCCAGCATGCGAGATGGTAAAGAAAAGTAAAAACTCTAAACGCAGCCAACCTCAGCACCACCAACTATACTAAGCCTTCCAACTTCACCTCCACTTGCTGTCACTCGTTCCCTCCTGCAATCAGAGCAGCACAGCACCAAGTAAGAAATCTGTCTAGGAAATGGAACAAAGAAGGTATAAATATAGACGCATACTCTTCCACATTTTCTTCAAGTCTATGATCAACAGTTAATGTGGAAACAGAATCGCCTTGAGTATCCAAAATACAACGTGAATCTCCCACAGAGGCAACAGTGACAGTCCACGAATCAACTATTACAAATGTAGCTGTAGTTCCAGATGTTTCTCCTGGACAATTAAATGAGGACATGAAGCATGAGCATTATCTAAATGCAAAACAAATACAGCGGGAATAAACAAATTCAATTCAAAGCAAAGACTGAACAACGCCTAGTTCCTTGCCTCTGCTCTGGAACTCCTTATCAGTCTTTACAAAACCAGCAACTAATGCTCGAGGTAAAGCTTGAAGCCACTCATCCCGCCCAAGTCCGTGAGGAACAGCACTCATTACATGATTCAAAAGATTCTCTCTTGTATAAATTGCTGCAGCCTTTCCATTGTGCCCATCGAATATCTGAAAAGCAGAATATGGAAACTATTACACGGAATGGTAAACATACAACCTAGTGATAACCCAATCTCATGCTGAACATTTCCAAAGCTTATTAAGAACAAGAGCACATTAAGCTTTGTTCACAGAAATATATCATCCAACAAAGAAATGTAATAATTCAGAGAAGCTCAAGACCAATATCATAGAGCAAATCTGCCGAACTATTACACACTACTCTTTCTGGCATAGCATTCTTGAAGTGTAGAAATAGAAATAGAATACATGTGTAAGAGAAAGGGCCTACCGCAAAAACAGAAAAGGTTGAAGAAGAATTGCCAGGTACTCTCTGACAATCCGTTTTTATCAAGAAATAATCCTCTCCTTTTCTAGACTGTGCTGCATGCCCATATCTGACGGTCGGCTTCTCCATCTTCTCACTTCTCATTTCTCTGCTAATCAAGGCAGCAAGAGGCACAAGATCCTGGCGATTACGCCTTCCATCTCCTGATGCCATATCTATCAGCGGAAGCTTTGCACCTTTGGCACAAGACCCCCAGATTAACAAATCTGTTTCAAAATAATACTATCTCCCCAACAATCTCAAATACAGTGACGAACGTCACACCCCGTGTAAATCAATCAAAGAAAATTTTGCTCAAAAAGAACTGTGTCTCCACAAATCTCAAAGCCACAATCCTCCTTCGAGCAAAATTTCTGAATTCACTGAACTTATTTATCTTTCAAGAGCAAACTCTAAAGTTCCCCACTTGATCTGCAGTCATGATTCACAAAACAGAAACCACTGTTTAGCTGATTTCAAGCAAAGTAGGTGCAACAACAGCTGGAGTAATGTTAAGCTGAGATCCAGCAAAAACCCAACACAGCATCTAGAACAACCATGTATTAAGGTAAAAGCAATTACAAAATTTTCTTAACAAATAAAAACAAAAATGCTCTCTTTGCTTGCAGGGGAAATTGAGGAAAACACCAAAAATAGAATCTTTACCCTTAAGCATTCACCTGCTACAATAAGATTTAAGATCCAAATTAAGAGACAAATTCAAGCATTAAACAACAACCCCGGCTACAAAACATAAAACAAAGATTCCAGAAGACAAGAAGAGGAATGTGAATTACCAATAAGAATGTCTGCTGAGAATTTCTTGCAAATGCAAATGCAGATCTGGTGACTGCCTGTAAGCAAAACAAACAACAACACGTTTGAGGGAGAACAAAAATCAACACGGAAAGCAAACGCGTTTTGCTTGCTGGCAAGATATGAACTGTAAGACCCATTAATCTAAATTCTAAAATAATCCCCCCATTCCAAGTATCAAGCAATACAATAAAAATAAAAAGAGAAAAAGAGAGCAAAGAATTAAAATCTTTAGAAATAGAAAACGAACCCCAGGTCAGCTTCCCAATATTCTCTTTTCACCAAACACTCCAAAAAAAAAAAAAGAAAAAGAAAAAAAAGTCAGCTTTGTTTAGAAACAAAAACACATTGCTTCAAAAAAATGACAGCTTTAATCTATTCTCTTGATTTTGAACAAAGGAACCGACGCACAGAAAGTGGGTTTTGCCGACTATAGAGTAATCTGTCTTCAAACCCACATTCCACTTCTGTTAAGAGTCGGTTTCTTAAGGCAAAGCAATCTTTTTTCTCCTCCTGTGAAAAGGCTCCCTTTTTTTTCCCACTTCCCCACTAAAATTTCTTCATAAATGTGGGTAAAAGTTAAAGTCGATATTGAAAAGCAGGGATCTTTTTAGAAACCATGGGCCATTAATGTTTAAGAAGCAGATCTTTCTTTGAAACGGGTATTTTCAGAGTAATTGTTTATTTAATCAGTAGATCTTGCTGTTTCTCTGAGAATCATCTTGTACTATTCATTTACAAAAGATTCCGGATTCCTCACCTGTCGAACCTCTGAATAGAAACAGAATTTACTCTCTGCCACCACAAGGACGGTATCTAACGATGAGAAAATCTCAAAAACTAAATACGTAGTTGTCAACCTTCATTACTATTGGCCATTCAGTCCTCCTAGGTTTTTTTTTTTTTTTTAAGCGCGGTAAACCAACCTCTCAAGTCTCAACCTCATAAAAAAATTTTTTAGAAAATGATTTTAACATTATCTTTAGTTTTGAACAAAGTATTAACCTTTTCCTCATTGAAATTTTCATTCATAAATTCTCCCTCATTAAACAAAAATCCTAACTCATCTCAATAATACTAACAATGATAAAACTAAAAATTAATTTTTTATAATTTAAGTTTAACTTACTTTTATACCTACAAAAAGATTAAAATAGAGCCTTCAACATTTGCTATCTACGGGGATAAATTTTTACAAATGTAGATTCTAAATTGGGTTAATTTCCCGAAAGAAAAAAACTCATGAGATCTGAAATTCCAAATTGTGAAAAAGTTTGAGGATATATTTGGAAAAACATTAAATTTAATAAATAGTCTATTAACTATGTGATTTATTTTATTTTAGTCTAAAAATAATTGTTTCTTTCAGAATGATATATAAACTATCAATTTTGTTTCAAAATAGTTTACTTAACAAACATTCCGTTAATAATAAGACCAATGGAGTTCTTTTTTGTTGTTGACATGTGCCCTCTAAACTTTTGAAAAATGTTAAATATAATACATATATTTTTATATTTTACAATATTTTATTTTTAAAGTTTAAATTCTATATCAAATGTAATAATTTATTAAGATAATAATTTTAATTTACATTAATCAAGATT